GAAAGTTGGGCAGAACCAGGCCTGCAGGGGAGGGCATTTGGGGGCAACCATGCTGGCAGGAGAGGGCAGTTCGGGGCAATTGGGCAGCAGGGGAGCAGTTAGGTGTCAATCGGGCTGGCAGGGGAGTGGTTAGGGAGTGATCAGGCTGGCAGGCAGAAGCAGATAGGGACCATCAGGCAGGCAGGTGAACCGTTGGAAGCCAGCAGTTCCAGATTAGAGAGGGTGCAGGCTGGGCTGAGGGACACACCCCCGTGCATGAATTTTGTGCACTGGGCCTCTGGTCTTTTTTTTTTTTTTTTTTTTTAATATATTTTATTGATTTTGTACAGAGAGGAAGGGAGAGAGATAGAGAGTTAGAAACATCGATGAGAGTTTCTACTGGGGATATGCCTGCAACCAAGGTATGCCCTTGACCGGAATCGAACCCGGGACTCTTCAGTCCCCAAGCTGACGCTCTATCCATTGAGCCAAACCGGTCCCGGCGGGCCTCTGGTCTTTATATATAAAAGCCTAATGTGCAAATTGTCCCCTTGGGCAATCACTTGCTATGACATGTGTTGACCACCAAGGGGTAATGCAGAATGAAGGAAGGCCCTGTCTGGCAGCCAGAAGGCCACAATCGGCCCTGATTGCTGGCCAGGCCTAGGGACCCTACCCATGCACAAATTTCATGCACCAGGCCTCTAGTTGTATATAAGAGTGTCTCTGTTGATTGTTGTTTTGTATCTTTTTGTTGTTTGGCTTAGTTTGTTTAAAGATGGGGCATATCCCGCTGCTTGTGGCAGGCTGAACCCATGGCAGGAATTTCAGGAACTTCCCAGCAGCTGCTGAGACCCTCCCTGCTCTCCTTCTCAAGGCATCCGCTGCCCCAAATTCTTATCTAGTAATAGATTTACCTGTCTGTAATGTAACTTTGGTTAAGGAAGTTCTTATCTTTTGGGGACTCGGTTTACTATTGTCCATTTTATGAACACAGGGAACCTGTCTCTGCTGTTTGTGCTTTGTGCCACTCAGAACCCAAGGTCCTTTGCTGTTCTGTGTTAGTGTGGGATAAGATTCCAGGCTAATGTCCCAGTCCCTCCTTTTGGGAGTACTCATTTATCTTACGGGTTGTATTTGTTTCTGTTTTTAACACATTAAGCATCAAGCTTGTTTTCCTTTTTGTTCAGCCTGCAATATACGATTTCACCAATATGCTGGCTGCACCAGTGACTGATGAGGACCAGACGAAAACTATAATGTCAGTCACTGGTGACTGACATGGCGTTTAATGTGATAATAGGATAAGATCTCTACTTATAAGTGAGATTTCATGTTGTTACATTCTATCCAGAAAGAAAATTATCATATACCCTTGAGGGCCCAGTGCATGAATTTGTGCACCTTGAAAGGAACTGTAGGCCAGAGGCTGTGGTAGAAACAGGGGTGGGCCTCAGCCCATCCTCCACACCCCTGCTCAACTCCTCCCACCGCAGCCCCCAGGCCCCTGTGTGCTGGCAGCCCCACTCCTGTTGCCACTGTTCCCACACACTGACAGTGCCTGCCCTGCTCACACCGGCTGAAGGCATGTGGCAATTGGGGCCAGCGCCAGCAGCAGGTGCCAGCGGGGCTGGTGCCATCAGCGGCTGCAAGCAGCTGCTGCCCTGATCACCCCTCAGGAGCAGGGGAGGTGGAGAAGCCCTGAGGGGTGCTCAGGATCAGCAGCCACTTGCACCTGCTGATGGCACTGAGAGATCAGGGCCAGCGCCAGGTGCTAGAAGTGGTGCAAGTGGCAGCTCCAGCACTGGCAATGGGTGCAAGTGAGGCAAGTGCCGGCAAGCAGGTGCAAGCACTGGGCAGAGCCCTCTTAGCATAATTAAGCTTGACCTTATGCTGCTCACTAGATCCTTCCCAGGTAGCTAATGGGCTGTGAGAGGTGCAACAAGTGCTGCCAAAACAAGTGACACTCACAAGAACATTGTAACTATGGTGACCAGTACCATTTTACCTCAGGCTATAAAATAAAGGCTCAGCACAAAGCTAGGGACATGATTAGGATTAAAATTAAGGTTTGGGTTTAGGTTAGAACTAGAGCTAGGGTTAGGTTTAGGGTTAGGGTTAGCATCTGGATCCTTGGATGCACATTGGAATCACTTGGAGAGTTAGGGTTAGGGGAAGGGTTAGGGGAAGGGTTAGGGCTAGGGCTAAGCTAGGGCAAGAATTAGTGTTAGGTTTTATGGTTGGATTAGGTTTAGGGTTATAGCTGGGCTTAAAGTTATGGTTAGTGTTATGTTTATGATTAGGTATAGGGTTAATGTTAGTGTGAAGGCTATTGTATGGTTAGGGTTAGGGCTAGGACTAGGGTTAAAGCTAGGGCTAGGACATGTGTTAATGATAGGGTTAGGGTTAGATTCTTGCTATGTTTAGGGTTTAGTATCATAGTTAGTGTTTTGGTGAAGGCCAGGGCTGGGATTAGGGTTAGGGTTAGAATTAGGGTTAGGGATAGGGCTTGTGTTAGGCTTAAGGCTAAGGCTAAGGTGAGTGATAGTGTTAGAGTCAGCATCTGGTTCCTTGTCTGCACATTGGAATCTCCTGGTGAGGTAACGTTAGGGTTAGGGCTCAGGATAGGATTATGGTTAGGGTTAGGTTAGTGTCAGATTTTAGGTTAGGGTTAGTTTAGGGTTTAGGGTTAGTTTAGGGTTTAACCCTAGTGTTAGGGTTAGCTTTATAGTTAAGATTAGCCCTAGGGTTAGGGCTAAGTTTAGGGATAGGGTTATGATTAGGGATACAGCTAGGGTTAAGGTTAGGTTTAGAATTAGGGTTTGGGTTTGAGCTAGGGTTAGGGTTAGGGTTAGGTTTAGGGCTAGGTTTAGGGTTAGGGTTAGGACCAGGGTTAGGGTTAGGGTTAGGGTCAGGTTGAGGTTATTTTAACATTAGTGTTAGAGTTAGGGCTAGGGGTAGGATGAGGGTGAGGTGGTGGATGAGGGCAAGAGTGAGGGTGAGGGTTATTGTTTACAGTAAGGAAGTGCTGTAATCTGAACCTGACATCTTTGAGGGGTGAGAGGGCATGTGAGGCCTTATAAACATGGTGACAGAAAGTAAGCACATGGCGGGTAATCTAGTCCCAGGCATTTGTCCTCCTTCTTCTTCTTTTTTTAATATGTATTTTTATTGTTGGTTTTTGTTTTTTTTACAGAGAGGAAGGGAGAGGGATAGAGAGGGGAACATCAATCAGCTGCCTCTTGCACACCCCCTACTGGGGATATGCCCACAACTAAGATAGATGTCCTTGACCAGAATCGAACCTGGGATGCTTCAGTCCGCAGGCCGATGTTCCATCCACTGAGCCAAACTGGTTAGGGCCATTTATCCTTCTTGATAACGATAAATTTTTAGCTTAAGTGAGTCCTGTCTATTCTCTTTTCATCTGTAATAACAAATGTTTGAAATTTCAGTAACTTTCCTTTCTAAAACCTTAGAAGGCACAATCATCAGCACAAGATTTCTCATTGTTACCTTGTTGCCTGCATACCATCTCTATTAACTAGCCTGGTGTAGGGAATTTGCGCTCTGGGAGCGGAGTGTCCTTTATCCCAGCCTGCACCCTCTCCAGTCTGAGCCCTCGCGGGGGATGTCTGACTTCCGGGTTAGTCCCCTAACTGCTCCCCTGCTGACCCAATCACCCCCAACTGCCCTCCCCTGCAGGCCATCTTTTGACAACGTGGGGGCAGCCATCTTGTGACACATGGGCATGGGGGCAATTTGCACATTACCACTTTATTATATAGGATTATATAGGATGCTGATTGTTAACTCCCTTCACTTACTAATGTAAAAGTGTGTGTCTCTCTATTTTACTTTTTAAAAAATATATTTCTATTGATATCAGAGGAAGGAAGAGAGAGAGAGGGAGAGATAGAAACATCGATGATGATGATGCCAAAATCGGTTTGGCTCAGTGGATAGAGCGTCAGTCTGTGGACTGACGTCCCAGGTTCGATTCCAGTCAAGGGCATGTACCTTGGTTGTGGGCACATCCCCAGTAGGGGATGTGCAGGAGGCAGCTGGTCGATGATTCTCTCTTATCGATGTCTCTAGCTCTCTATCCCTCTCTTCCTCTCTGTAAAAAATCAACAAAATGTATTTTTTTTTAAAACATCGATGATGAAAGAGGATCATTGATTGGCTGCCTCCTGCCTGCCCCCCCACTGGGGATGGAGCCCACAACCCCGGCATGTGTCCCTGACTGGACTTGAACCTGGGACCCTTCAGCCTGCAAGCTGAGGCTCTAACCACTGAGCAAACCGGCTAGGGCTCCATTTTACGTTTGACCCAATCCTAGAGATTAACTGTGCTCCCTTCCCCAGCCTCAGTCATCTACAGCCAGGGGATTTCACCCAACCTTTCTCAACCTCCTGATTCCGAGTTATAAAATGAGCTGCCACACTGCCATTCTGTGGAATGTTTTCTCAATCTTCAAAATTTTGGCTCAAATAAAGTCATAACATTTTCTGTATGTTGGCCTTTCTTCCGTCGGACAGCGAAGACACTGGAAGGTTCCACACCTACTTCTATGCAATACCGCAACACCCAGCCCGGGACAGCCAGGAAGCACCGTGGAAGAGTTAGCTGTTTTAGTTCTATTTCTGTATTTTGGATGATAATACATTCTGGGATTGCTTACGTAATTTAAAAGTAAAGATCATGGTTTCCCATCCCATTAGTATCACTCCTAGCGCTCAAATGCAGGCCGAGGCCGAGGGCCGTGTATTTACTCCATCCGCCCGCAGCCCAACAAGGGGCGAGGCACCGGGCAGCGCAGGAACCGGCCGACCGGCAGCCCGCGGTCCCTCCCCGCGGCCCGACCCGGCTCTCCCGCCGCAGCCCCGGCGCCAGTGCGCACGCGCGAGGGGCGGCGCCCCGCCTGACCGCCCCGCCCAGACGCTGACGTCACCGGCCGGCGCCGCGCGGTTTGACGTCCCTGAGACCCGCCTCCCGGAAGGAAGCCCGAGCGGCTGAGGATGGCGACCGCCGCGGAGCAGTGGGTCCTGGTGGAAATGGTGCAGGCGCTCTACGAGGTGAGCGCGGCTGTCCGGGCGCCGCGACACTCCCGCGCGCGGGCTCGTGGCCGGCGGCCTGGCGCCCTCGCCGGGCCGGGCGTCCGGGCTGGACGGGCCGTGGGCGCGCGGGGCCGGCAGCGGAGCCGAGGGCCCTGGTTTGCCTCCGGGCGCGGAGCCCGCTCGGTCCGGTCGGGGCGGGGCCGGAGGCGTGGGCGGGGCCGGAAGGCGTGGGCGGGGCCGGAGGCGTGGGCGGGGTCGGGGAGGCGCCCTGGAGGCGCGGTGGCTCCTGGAAAGCGGAAGGGGCCGGCCGGGAGGCCCGGGAAGTCAGGGCCGGGCTGCGGAGCAGGAAAAAGGGGAGTTGTGATGAGTTCAGTGTGCTTTTCTCGGGGCGTGAGGTTAGAAAAGAAGCCGAATGACTTAGGATTTGGGAATATGAAATCCACGTAGTTTGTCGTTCTTATCTGTCTTATTTTCTTGTCAGACAAGGCTAGCTATTTCACTTGTTAGATAACGTGAAATCAGCATGTTAGTCTTAGAGAATGTTCGTTCATTTGACATATATTTAACCGAGCTTCACCGCGGTGTCCAACAGAACTGTTTCTTAACCATATGTGGCCAGTAGACACTTGAACTGTGTCTAGTGCAACTGAGGAACTAAATTTGTTAAGTGAATTTAGATGTATCATTAAGTAATTACCTGGTGACTTAGTGGCCCTGGTTTTGGGTAACACAGATCAAGACGCTGGGACTAGTGCTTTGAACAAACAGGCAAACATGGAGAGCTCAGAGTCATTTAAAGTGAATCTGCTTTCCTTTGACAATTGTTTGGAGCTTAACATCACTGCTTCGTGGCATGGGTGATGATGGTGTCTACCGTGGCAAGGCTCATCAGACCTTGATGAAAAGCAGTTGACAACAGATGTGGCATCTTTGATGTCCAACATTAGATTTATTATAGTAAAATAAGAGCTACTAAAATTTAATGTTTACTTTCGTATAAATGAATAATTTCTTGTTTTCTATTTTTGCTCTCTTCTTGAAAATTGCATACTGACCAAGAGTGACACTTGGGAGAAGTCTCCCTGAATGCAACATTCCCAGGAAAGAAAGCTCCACGTGTGGATTTTATTAATTCACTGGACAATTAGTGTGCTTTTTGTGGAGTGGGATGGTTAGTGACTTGGGCAGATGTTTGCCTATTAGAATCCAATTACTGAGGAAACCAAATGGATATTTAGACTCATTCTTAAGAGAATTATATTCAAGGAGGATTCGCATATTTTAAAAAATCATCTTGAGAGATTTCTGTTCTTGCTCCCAATTTCTGTATACTTGGTATGTAGAATTTGAGGACTCTTGTGGAGTGCACCCAAAAAAGAAATAATAGTGTATGTATGTGTACCAAAATCTATAATTTGAAAGTTATCTGTACATTGACCTGAAAACTTACAAATTTTTCAGCAGTTTTCCGATCTCCACATTCTGAAATTTTTAAAACTGATGATTCATCATCACTACTTTCTAATGTTTGAAAATAACTTGTGTTTACATTTCTAAATACCTCTTTTAAATTTCCCAGTGACAAACTATGGGAGTGGAGCATCCTGTAACTGCCTGGGGTTATTGATACGTGGACTCTTCCACATGCCCTGTGTGTGTCTGGTTGGACAGCAGTTAGGAGTCACCTTGAGCTTTTTCCTGAAAGAAGCTGATGTGGATAATTTCATCAAGATATCTTTATGCCTGTTTATGTGGAAAATACTACAATTTGGGGGAACTACAATAGAAAAAAGACCTGTTATCCCAGCATTTATAAAGTGTTTTTTATTCTGCCATGTTAGAAGAAAAATTTAAAGGGGCTATCAGAAAAATACAAAAAAAAAAAAAAGTAGTAAGATGTGCAGCACTGTGGAAACTGATTTCCAAATGATTTCGTTCCCTCACACATGGTGGAAGTGGCTAAAGAGGCTTGTGAAGCTGTGATATGTTTGTTACAGTCATTTCCCAGGTAAAAATTTAAATTACCTCCAGGTTCTCAAAATGGATGTTGTTTGACATGTTGGGATTCTGTGTCAGATTTATTTTAAAGAGTTTTTTTCTAGCGATCTTTTAAAGCACAATACTAGAGATTTTTTTATGTGTAGAGGAAATTGCCTGGTAGAAACGGGAAAAGCACTGAGTAGAAATGAAAGGAGCTTTGAAAGTAAATTTTAAAAAGTAACAGGTTAAAGGTCATAGGGGGCAGTATTTGTAGGTGCATTACATTTTATATGCAGGTTTTACAAGTGTTCATTTCACTTCTGTTTTTTATTCACTCTTAGGCTCCTGCTTACCATCTTATTTTAGAAGGAATTCTAATACTCTGGATAATCAGACTTCTTTTCTCTAAAACTTACAAATTGCAAGAACGATCTGACCTTACAGTCAAGGTAAGAAATTAAATCTCTATTTTATTATCTGGTGTATGATGATTGTGGCTACCTCTTTCCCGAAAGGGTTTGTGGTGAAGTGTTTTCTACATTGTAAGACGATCAAGGTGGGTGGAATACGGGACAGGCAAACGGAGAGCCACGTGCCTCCCCAGAGGAGTAGCCTGTTACAGACTTCTTTGCTCACTAGGGCCAAGCGCAGCCTTGGAGTAGGTGAGGGAAGGGAAGCTCAGGTAGCTACTGGATTTTGCCGTTTCCAAAGGCAGGGTTACATGAGTTGTCGGGGAAAGCCCCCGTTTCTGAAGTCTGAAAGTTTTCCCTGTGGTCTTCATAAAGAAAAGTGAGTTGGAAAGAATCCTCCTCATCCCCCCTCTCCACCTCCCCACCCCAAATTGAATTTTGATGTGTTCTGTGTGGTAAGGGACCCAGCTCAAGCCCAAGCCAGGTGAACCTCAGAAAGCAGAAGTGCCTACACTGGAGGAACTGTGGCACTGCCCACGCAGTCCGTGTGTATGAGGGACGGGGTAGGAGCACTTGGTGACTGCCTCGGTACGGGGAGGAAGAACAGTTTTGATTGCAGCATAGTTTTTGTCACTGGGATTGTTGTGCCAGATGTGTGGGAGGCAGGGATTGGGAGAGATGTTTTCCCACAAAAGTCTCTGAAAGTTTGGTTCGCAGGAAGCACTGAGTGCAGTGCATAGATGAAGCACTGGGCCTTTCTCTACTTCCTGGGCCTCCCAGGAGGAAATGCAGGGGAGTGGGATTGCAACAGCGATGTGCAGTTGCTGCCCTGGTTTGTCTGACCAGCTGCTGCTGTCCTGGTCATTCATATTAAACTGTCCCCTGGGGAACATGCAGCATATGTTCTTAGGGCAGAATGTTCTGGCAGCCTGAGTAAAGCAGAATAAAGAGATGTCTCATTGCATGGTTGTAATCCTTAATATGCCATTGCACATTTGAACCCCTATTTGGAGGAATGCCCTAAACTTGACCACAGATCTCTCCCTTTCCCCGCCCCTTTTAATGATATTTTGTGGGATTATCATGCCGCAGAAGGAACACTTCCTGTAGCACTGCAGTAAGGCTGGGCCCTGCAGGCCAGAGTCCTTTCCATGCTTTTCCCTTTGATATTTAGGAACTTCTTGTGGATGACTAAGTGGCCGTGAAACAGATTTCTAGCCCAACTTTTAAAGGGTTTGATGAATCCAAATATTCTTAGTTTTAGTTTAAACATATCAATCCACACATATATACATTTTTAAAAAAATATATTTTATTGATTTTTTACAGAGAGGAAGAGAGAGGGATAGAGAGTTAGAAACATCGATGAGAGGGAATCATCGATCAGCTGCCTCTTGCACACCCTCTACTGGGGCTGTGTCCGCAACCAAGGTACATGCCCCTGACCGGAATCAAACCCAGGACCCTTCAGTCCACAGCTGACACTCTATCCACTGAGCCAACTGGTTTCGGCTATACATTTTTCTTTTTAAAGTGATAGGTAAACATCTATAATAATAAAAGCATAATATGCTAATTAGATCAGATGTCCTTCTGGATGACCTTCCTGACAAAGCTGGGGCTGAGAGGGAAGCCCAACCACTGGCGCCGGAGGGAAGCCGGTTCCGGCAGCTGGGGGACGGAAGGCCTGCTCTTGCACACATTTCATGCATCGGGCCTCTAGTGGTTTTAGAAAAATCCTCTGAAAGCAGACTTAGCTAGATCGAAATTTGGTAATCACTGACATTGGACCCTCCCAGCAGTGTGAGGAAGAAGCTGTGCTGTGAGTGAGAAGTGTCCTTCTCAGTCAGATAGACCTCCAGAGGCTCTGAATGGCAGGGTGTGGTGAGTGCATTCTCACATCTGAGACATTTATTGGTTGATTATGCAGCCAGTATTTTTGAGTGCCTGAAAATCAGGTGAACATGCTTTTGGTCTTGCTCTGGAGTTGCCTAACGGGAGAAATACGAACAGCATTTAATGGAAGTTTGAGACCAGAACAATGGGAGAGGGTCTGTTTGCAAGGCAAGGATCGCCGTGGCCACCATGTTAACTTAGGGGCCTCATTTCCTTTACATCAGACACATTTTCACAATTACCTTTTTTTTTTCTGATTCGAAAAAGGATAAGAAACACAAAATAGTCAAAATACTTATAATGCAGAAAGTAGCAGATACAAGGAATAAAGTAGCTTTTTGTGAGAAATTCCGAACAAAATCCCATTACAATAATTACAACTGTTTTTTTCTGTATTTTAGCTACACCTGAATTCCTGCAGGTGGCTTGTAGGAACAGTGCTTGGTGATCTGGTCAATCCCTTCCCATGATGGCCACCTCCATCAGCACTTCTGGTGTGGTTTTCTGTCTTTTCTTGGGATAGAGGCTGAGCTGAACTAGCAGAAATGCTTCTCACCTTTGTTTTGTTTTTTGTTTTTTTAAATATATTTTATTGATTTTACACAGAGAGGAATTGAGAGGGACAGAGAGTTAGAAATGTCGATGAGAGAGAAACATCGACCAGCTGCCTCTTGCACACCCCCTACTGGGGATGTGCCCGCAACCAAGGTACATGCCCTTGACCGGAATCGAACCTGGGACCCTTCAGTCCGCAGGCCGACGCTCTATCCACTGAGCCAAACCGGTCCTGGCTAAAATGCTTCTCACCTTTGTATTGTATACTTTCTTTTTGTTTCACAATCAGTATAAGTTGTACTTTGCATGGTGAAAAATTTTGATATAGAAATAAAGTTTTCTTAAATTTTTTAGTCACCCACAAAACTACTTGGAAAAAAAGTATTTTGCCTAAGATGTGAGGAGGTTAAGTGCCCAAAACTCAAAAGTGATTCATTTCTTTTCTAATGACAACTAGACCTCTGGTTCTAGCAGTGTGTTCACTATGATGGTCCCATTACAACAAACAAGGTAGATACTGCTGAGTCGCTGTCCAGGAGCTGGTATTGTGTGTTTTAACACCTTTTTGCTTGTAGGAAAAAGAAGAATTGATTGAAGAGTGGCAACCAGAGCCTCTTGTTCCTCCTATCTCAAAGGACCATCCTGCTCTCAACTACAACATTGTTTCAGGGTAAATCACTTTGTTACTGTTTCTGTGGGTAAGCTCAGCCAAGGACACAGTAGTTTAATGCTATTCCTTTCTTACCTGAAATAAAACATTTAGAAACATCTGCAGATCAGAAACTAACTGCTTTAATTCCCAATATAAAACTTTCTTTTAGGAATGATATGGACATTTTTTGTAGTCTTCAATTTGGGCATTACAGTTTGTCCCTTTTTCAAAAAAAAATATTTTTTTTTCAAAATAGTACACACACATGATAATATGTAAAGTGGTCAGACACACTTAAAATGAAAAGCAGCACTCCCTTCTTCCCACCTGGTTTGCTTCTGATTTTGGGTCTGTTGCAGGTTTCCTCCATAATAAGCTAGTAACAGTATGCAGACCCTACTACTACTAGATTAACAGTGGAAATACCTATGGACTCACAGCATGAATTATGAAACTTCAGCTCACTTATCCTACCTCTCTTCTTGCTTCCAATGTCTGATCTGTTTTTATTATTAGTTCTCTGTTGGGTATCTTTGCTTTTTGTATGTGCTTTTCCAAATTATTTTAAAAATTTAGACACATATGTATTAGTAATCATCCAGAATTAATAGGCATTTTGCTATTTTGAAATATATTTTTTAAAAGAAAGAAACCATTACAAATATAGCTAAAGAAACTTTCCCATCTATCACTTACTCTTGCCTCCCATATAATATTTCCACTATCTTGAAGTTGGTGTATTTTACTCTGTTACAATAGAATGATTGTTTTTTGTGTTTTTATTGCACGTGTAGTACTTTCTCAATATCTGGTGAACCTTAGCATCTTTTTTCCACCAATATACAGAATGTCTCATTGTAATTAATAGCATAATATAAATAGTCTACAAAAACCATGCACACAAAAACATGATATTTTGTTATTGATAAGTTTAGAGTTTTCAACTTATGCAATACCTCTTTACATTCAATACTGAGTTGACACAAGAGTAAGTGAATTTACTTAACTTGGATATTTTTTTTAAATTTTAATAACAGCCGAAACCGGTTTGGCTCAGTGGTTTGATTCCGGTCAACGGCATGTACCTTGGTTGCGGGCACATCCCTAGGCAGCTGGTTGATGTTTCTCTCTCATCGACGTTTCTAGCTCTCTATCCCTCTCTCCTCCTCTCTGTAAAAAATCAAAATAAATGGGTTTTAGTATATTCACAGAGTTGTGCAACTATTGCCACCATCCAACTTCCGAATTTTCAGCACCCCAAAAAGAAATTCACACCCATTAGCAGCTATTCCCCATTCCCTCTGCTCCTCAGCCCCTGGCAACTACTAATTTACCTTCTCTGGATTTGCCTATTCGGGGCATTTTATAGCAAAGGAACCTCTCAGTATGTGGCCTTTTGTATCTGCCTTCTTTCCTGGAGCCTAATGTTTTCAAGGCTCATCATGTTGTATCATGTGTCAGTGTTTCATTCATCATGGATAAAGCACATCCCACTCGGTATAGATCACATGGTGTTTACACATTCTTCAGTTGGTGGACATTTGGGTAGTTTCCACTTGGGAGTACATGAAAAAAGGAAATATATGTAAATATACATGTTTATGTTTCCCACCAGTAGTATATGAGAACTCCACTTTCTCCACATTCTGGCCAACCCTTATTTTCTGTCTTTTTAATTATAGCCTTCCTAGTAGGTGGGAAGTAGTATACCAAATGGCTAATGGTATTGATAATGTTATTGAGTGTCTTTTCATATAGTTATTGGCCATTTTCATATGTCGTCTTTGGGGAATAGTCTACTCAGTTATTGTTCTTTTTATCATTGAGTTGTAAGAGTTCTTTATATATTTGGTGTACTAGGCCCTTATCAGATATATGACTTGTAAATATGTTCTCCCATTCTCTAGGTTTTTGTATCTATTCTCTTCTAGTGTATTTTGATGCACAAATGTTTTTAATTTTTTAAAGATATATATTTTATTGATTTCAGAGAGGAAGGGAGAGGGAGAGAGAGATAGAAACATCAATGATAAAAGAGAATCATTGATTGGCTGCCTCCTGCATGCCCCCTACTGGGATTCATACCTGAAACTCAGCAATGTGCCCTGACCAGGAATCGAATGCTGACCAGGAATAATCGATTCATAGGTCTATGGTTAACCACTGGGCCACACTGGCCCGACAAATGTTTTTGATTTTAATGAAGTCCAGTTTATCCCATTATACTCTTGCTGCTTGTGCTTTTGTGTTATATCTAAAGATCTTTGCCCCATCCAACATTATGAAGATTTCCTCCTTTGCGTTTTTTAAGAGTTTATAGTTTTTGCTTTTAAATTAGGTCAGTGATTCATATTCATTTTGAGTTAATTTTTATAGTGCTGTGAGGTAGGGATTCATCTCCATTCTTTTACATGTGTATACCCAGTTGTCCCAGCACCATTTGTTGAAAAGACTATTCTTTCCCTTGAGTTGTCTTGGCACTCTGATGAAAATCCATTCTTAAGACTGACACTGAAATGCTAATTCTAAGCCCTGTGTCAATGGGCTGGGCTTCCTGGTTGATAGTGGGCATCACTTTCAATTGAGGGTAATCAGACAAGGATTTGAGGGGATCCCAGATTCAGTATTTTCTGCTTTTCCTCTCTTTGAATTTCACCGCAAAGGAGTACTCCCATGTGTTGGGATGGGGCGAGGTGGTCTTAGGGGGTGCCCCTTTAAGCCTGATCTCCAGCCCTCTGGGAGCTGAGTTGGAGGATGGAGGAGGGCTCAGTGTCCCATTTTTATTTTGGTAAATTTATACTGATTTTGTGTTCAAAGTGGCACTGACCCCTCACTGGTCCTTGGGAATTTTAGTTTATATTCAGCATTTCCAGAGTAAATCTCCCGCCTTCCTGCAGGACCAGAAGGGGACCTAAGGAAATGACTTCTTTTTTTTTCTTTTTTTTCTTTTTATTAAATTATTATCTGTGTACATATTTTAACATTGCCCCCCCTCCCATTCATACCCTCCCTCCCCAGAGTTTTGTGTCCATTGGTTGTACTTATATGCATGTATACAAGTCCTTCGGTTAATCTCTTATCTCCCCCAGATCTCCCTACTCTCCCCGCTGTAATTTTACAGTCTGCTTGTTGCTTTACTGTCTTTATATCTATCTTTTGGTTTGTCCGAGGAAATGACTTCTTATGAAAGGTTCCAAGCCAGGCTCCTGAGTCCCCCTCCTGTTCCCCCTCTCCAGGAAGCTCTGCCCCAGCCTGGGAGCATTTTCAGGTCTGCTGCAGCCTTTCCCTGCCCGCACATTCAGCTCAGCTTTCCCACCCTCAGCTTTCTATCGGGTCTCTTTGTTTTGCCAAATACAACTTACCCTTCTGCTCTCTAGTTTCCCCATTTTGTTACTGTCATCGCCTTTGCCTGCTCTTGGTAAGGTCAAATATTTTAGACTTTTGTAGGCATTTTTGTGAATGGATAGGCTTTTCTATTAGGAAGTAATCCTTACATTCCTAAAATAAGTCCTATTTAAGGATGAATGTGGTTTTTATAAACTGCAGGATTTGTTTTGCTAATATTTGAAATTTTTAATGTCTATGTTGACAAATGAGTTTAGTCTCTTATCTTTTTTTCCCTTACTGTGCTGGTCCATTTTGGTATCAAAGATATATGTTAGTCTTATCATTTTCCTAGCAACAGTATGAATTCCATATGTATGTATTTCTGTTGAGCACAGATTTTTAATCATGATTTCATTGTCTTCAATGGGTTTATAAAGCTGTTCAGGTTTCCTTCTTAAAGTTTTGCTTACCATCATTTAGTCATTGTCCATTTCTTGAGTTTTCAGATGTTTTGGCATGAGTAGTTTGTAGGTTTCTTCTGGGCATATACATAAAAAATGTATTCATAACACTTTATTATATATACACTAGAGGCCCTGGACACGAAGCCCAGCGCACGACATTCGTGCACGGGGCAGGGGGTCCCTCAGTCTGGCCTGCGCCCTCTTGCAGTCCCGGACCCCTCGGGGCATGTCCCCTCGGGGATGTCCATGTGCTGTCAGTCAGACATTCCCGAGGGGTCCTGAGCGCTGCTGCAGAGGTGGGAGAGGCTCTGCTGCCCACTCACCAGCCGTGAGCCCGGCTTCTGGCTGAGTGGTGGTCCCCCTGCGGGAGTGCACTGACCACCAGAGGGCAGCTTCTACATTGAGCGTCTGCCCCCTAGTGGCCAGTGTGACTGGTTGTTCCACCATTCCATCGATTTGCATATTAGGGTTTTTTTTTTTGCTTTTCTATAAATGTCTCTTGATATCTTTCACATCTTTCTGCTGATCTCCAGTATGTCTTTTGATTAACAAGAGTCCCATAAACTGTGTGGATTCTAATCCTTAGTCAGTTTTTTAAAAATATGTTTTTATTGACTTGAGAGAGAGAGGAGAGAGAAAAACATAACCGATCGGCTGCCTCCTGCATGCCCTCCACTGGGATGGAACCCACAACCCACAACCCAGGCATGTACCTTGACTGGGAATTGAACTGGTGACCTCTTGCCAGATGGTGAGGAGCACCTGTGAAGCATTTCCTGGGTGTTTGGAGGCAGGCAGCAGGACAGCGTGACCGGCCACAGGGGCTGTGGCTAGCAGAGGAGAGCAGACAGTTGGAACGTGGGTGAAGAGGTTAGGAATGTCCTGACCAATTTAACTGCTAGTATTCTCCTTTCCATAATTTCAGAAGAGTGTAACAAAAGTCTGTCTAGAGTGCCCAGCAGATCTTTTTGTTAAATACAGCCAAAAGTTCTAGCTGACAAGACAACACCTGACCTTCCAGCGGCAGTGACTTCTGTGGTGGCCAGTAAAAGGCAGTCGGTGCCCTCTTAGATTCAGTGAGATACAATCACTTTCGTTATTGCACACCTGTTAGCTTCATCTTCGGTGTCTTTATTGAACCAAAGTCTTAATTTTGACTTAATCAGTTTCATCTCTTTTGGCTTCATGGTTTGCATATTTTGAGATCATTTCCTACTCCAAGGTCACAAAGACATTCTTCTGCGTCTTCTTTCATATCTTTTCCCAAATATCTCTATGGTTTGTGACATGTCTGGGATTCACCTTTGTACCGCTGCTTTAATATATATATATGTATACGTATACATATACATATTAGAGGCCTGGTGCATGAAATTCATGTACTTGGGGGAGGGGTGGTCCCTCAGCCCAGCTTGCACCCTCTCCAATCTGGGACCCTTTGGGGGATATTCAACTGCCGGTTTAGGCCTGATCCTAAACGGCAATCTGACATCCTTTTCACAGTCTGGGACTGCTGGCTCCCAACCGCTTGCTTGCCTGCCTGCCTGCCTGCCTGCCAGCCTGATCACCCCCTAATCACTCCCCTGCCAGCCTGATTGATGCCTAACTGCTCCCCTGCTGGCCTGGTCACCCCCAACTGCCTGCCTGGCTGCCCCCAACTGCCCTACCGTACCAGCCATCTTCTGGTGGCCATCTTGTGACCACATGGGACGACCATCTTGTGCAAGATTGTGATGGTCAGTTTGCATATTATCTCAATATTACATAGGATATCCATCCCAGCTGCTGTTGCTCAGTGGTTGAGTCTGAGGTACTTTATTTATCTATTCGTTTTTTGTTTTGTTTTAATCTTTACCTGAGGATATGTTTTCCATTGATTTCTAAAGAAAGTGGAAGGAGGGAGGCAGCAGGGAGAAAGTAGGGGGGAGAGGAAAGAGGAGGGAGGGAGAAATAGTGTGAAAGAGACACATTGCCTCACACACACACACACACACACACACACACCCCTCTACTGGGGCTGGAAAGCCTGCAACCAAGGTACGTTCCCTTGACTGGGAATTGATCCCTTGACCCTTTGGTCCATAGGCCAACACTAACCACTGAGCAACCGGCCAGGGTTAGCTATTCTTTCTTCAGTGAATTGTAAAATCAAAACAAAAATTTGCCATATATCCATTTTGAAATTCTAACTTCTTAACTGAAGTGTACAGGGTAGCCTATTAAGAATTATTGGCCAAGGATATAATTTTAATACACCACTGTCTAATTTTACTTTTTAAAAATAAGCAGTACAGGCGCTGGAAGACCAGTGCACAAGTAGTGTAGAGTAACAACACTGTGTCCCGTCTGCTGCCATGTAGTGTGGGGCGTGTGTGCTGTAACAAGTGTTAGCTCAGTGAATCGTTCTCATCTCTCTTCCCCAGCCCTCCAAGCCACAGCATCGTGGTGAATGGAAAAGAATGTGTAAACTTTGCCTCCTTTAATTTTCTTGGATTGTTGGGTAACCCTAGAGTGAAGGTAAGTAGCACCATGCTGAAGGGAAAAGATAGCATGACTGACTTGAGAACCTGGACATAAAATCAAAGGTAGATGTCGAGCATCAGAAAGGGCTGTGAGTGTGCGTTGCTCTTTTCCAGGAGAGCTGTGGCTGGACTTCAGAGAGGGGCAGGAGGGGCTGTTGTGGCTTAGTGTTTCCGAGCCAGACCTGGTGATGGTTGGAGCTGTGTTTAGGAAATGGCTCCAGTTCCTGTTGGCATTGTCAGCAAGTAAATGTTTTTGAGCCAAAAAGAATAAACTCATCAAATTAACTGGGATTTGATATTTGAGTTAATAGAACATGTCTGTTTAAGTTATATCCTTAAATCTTTTTAAAAATATATATATATTTTTTATTGATTTCTGAGAGGGGGAGAGAGATAGAAACATCAATGATGAGAGAGAATCATGGATCAGCTGTCTCCTGCACCACCCACTCTGGGGATGGAGCCCACAACCTAGCATGTGCCCTTGACTGGAATCAAACCTGGGACCCTCAGTCTGCGGGCTGACACTCTGTCCACTGAGCCAGAACAGCTAAGGCTGTTCTTAAATCTTTATGTCTGCTTTTCTTTGTATCCTATTGCTAGGACGTCGTCGTTCTAAGAAAGGAAGGAAAGGGGAGGGAGGGAGAGGCTCCGGGTTAAAGATTAGGAGATGCCGGTTTTGAACTCTCTCTTCCCTCCCACATAGGCAGCGGCTTTGGCATCTCTAAAGAAGTATGGTGTGGGGACTTGCGGACCTAGAGGATTTTACGGCACCTTTGGTACGTTTCTGTATTTTCCAGACTACTTCCTGATGGAATAAGGTTCCATTTTATTTCAGCACTCCGTGGGGAAGGCATCCTTAGTTGTGGTGGTAAGCTGGTGCGTGCGATTTCTTACCTCATCTTCTAGATTCTACCATCTAGAGCATTGTTGTTTGGAACCATTGGTTAGAGTTGAATGTCTCTTGTAGAGAAGAGCCGTAGTTACCTTAGGTGTTGTCGTTCTTAGATCAAAGCCTAAGCTGCTGTTTCGTGTGCCCTTCCCCTACTCTTCTCCTCCCCCTCCCCCCCACCCCCCCACCCCGCAGCGGGGTTAGGAAATATAATAGTTCATTTCTGTGGTGCATGACAGTTGTAAGGGGAAGGGTCCTGTGTGGGTGGCTCTGCCTTTCATAATTGTGCAGGAACCGGGATCTTCCCTGTGTCTGCTCCAGTGGGGAGGGCACCATCCTTGTCTGCATGGCTGCAGCCAGGTGGCAAATCTGGGAGCAGGTGTGCGGGGCAGCAGTACCCTTTTAGGCAGGCAAGTGACCCAGCATATCACTCTGCCCACTGTGCATTGGTGAGACCGTAACCCGGGTCATGCCTTCCTGCAAAGGGGGCAGGGAAGTAGCTCTAGCCGGGGAGCCACCACATGCCAGGGAGAAAGACAAGAACAGATTGGGAGGCAATAGACCAAGTAGCTCTCTTCTTTCTGGAATGAAGATGAAGGATCGTTGATTTCCCTGTGTGTGGGTAACCCTGGGACAGGCTAAGTAAATATTAGGGTGAGTGTGTGATTTCAAACACTATGAACTTCCCTAACAGATTTGTTAAAGACCCTGGCATTTTCAGGTTGTGTTTATTAAATGTATATTGTTCTTCAGGAAGCTTTGAAATGCTAAATAATTATTCAAATGAGTATATTCCTGGAAATAACATCTGGCCAGCGATCGGAGTCGATTGGAGCCGTCTCACTCAGTCCTAATTGGGGCTGATCTTGGCTAACTGGCTGGGGGAGGGACCACAGGAGGCCAGCCACAAGAGGTTGGCTGTAGGAGTGCACTGACCACCAGGGGGAAGCTCCTGTGTTAAGCATCTTCCACCTGGTGGTCAGTGCACATCATAGTGACCAGTCACTTGGTCGACCGGTCGTAACAGTTGCTTAGGCTTTTGTTTATTTATTTGTTTATTTATTTATTTATTTATTTATTTATTTATTTATATGTGTGTGTGTGTGTGTGTGTATATTTATACATGTGTGTATACACACACACAGACACGCACACACGCACACACACTAGTGGCCTGGTGCACGAAATTCGTGCACAGGGAAAGGGGGGTTGTTCATCAGCCCAGCCTGCATCCTCTCCAATCTGGGACCCCTTGAAGAATGTTTTACTGCAGGTTTACAGTGATTAGGCCTAAACCGGCAGTTGGACATCCCTCTCACAATCCAGGAATGCTGGCTCCAGCTGCTCACCTGCCTGCCTGCCTGATTGCCCCTAACCAGTCTGCCTGCTGGCCTGCTCACCCTAACAGCCCCCCGCCACTGGCCTGTTTCCCACCCCCCCCAAATGCCACCGCCAGCCTGATCATCCCCTACCCCCCCCCTTTCCCGTGCCAACCCGCTGTCTACCCTGGTGGCCTACTCACCCACACCTTCCCTCCCCACTGGCATGCTTGCTCTCAACTGCTCACACTGCTGTCCTGATCACCTCCAACTGACCCCCACTAATAGTCTGCTCACTCCCAACTGGCCCCCCTGTTGGTTTGCTTAACCCCAACGGCCCTGCCCCCAACCAGCCTGATCACCCTCAACTGCTGTGCCAGACTTTGTAGCCTTGAGTAGAGACCAGGGCAGGCGGGAAGCTTGGCTTTCTCCATCACCGGGGCATCCCAAGCCTCCTGCTCGATTCAGCTCCATGGCCGTCACCATCTTGGTTGAGTTAGTTTACATACTCACTCCTGATTGGCTGGTTGGTGTGGCTTTTGAGCGTAGTGGAGGTACAGTCAGTTTGCGTGTTTCTCTTTTATCAGTGTAGACTAGAGGCCTGGTACACACAACTTGTGCACAGGGAGAAGGTCCCTCAACCTGGCCTGTACCCTCTCACAATCTTTGACCCCTTAGGGGATATCCAAGTGCCAGTTTATACCAGTCTAATTAGCATATTATGCTTTTTTAAAAATTATTATTACAGATTAGAGGCCCAGTGCATGAAATTCATGCATGGGAAGTGTCTCTCAGTCTGGCCTGTGCCCTCTTGCAGTCCAGGAGCCCTTAGGTAGGGTCCCTAGGCCTGTCCGGTGATCAGGGCCTATTGGAGTCTTCCTTCCCCTGACTGCCCACAGCTGGCCCTGCCCCCACTGCTGCCATTGTTTGCCATCTCTGTGGCACTGCCCCCGCTCCCCCACCACTGGTCAACTCCCTCTGTGGGTAACAAGCGTGGGATGTGATCACTTGACTGACCTGGGCCTCCCTCTGCAGGGCAATCACAGAGCTCCCCTCCCCCCCATTGATAGTCACACTGTCCAGTGGCCTGGAACTCCCTCTGCAGGGTGATTGTGGGAGCAGGGGCTGGGGCTCTGTGATTGCCCCACACAGGGAGCAATCGTATCGTACCCGCCTTGGCTGTCCTGGCGCTAGTGGGTGTCATAGGTGGTCGTCTAGAATGTCATCCGGATGGTTGTTCTGCTGTTTAGTCGTTCAATTGATTTGTACATTAGCTTTTATTATTATTATAGGCATACATAGATAGATTCCATGTGTAAGTGAAATTAGATGGTATATGCATTTCTCTGCCTGACTTATTTCACTTACCATAACATCTCTAAGTTCATCCATGTTGTCGCAAATGGCAAGATTCACACATGACATATCATTCACACATGATCTTCTTTAGCGATTTGTTTACTTTTATTGATGGACACTTAGAATTTATTTTTTTGTGTATCTTGGCTATTGTAAATAATGCTGCAGTAAACATATGGATGCATATGTCTTTTTTAATTAGTGTTTTAGATTTCTTTGAATAAATACCCAGAAAAGGAATTGCTGAGTTCTTTAACTCTTGTTACAGCCCTAGTTTTAAGGTCTATTTCATGTGCTATAAATATTGATACTCGAGCTTTTCTTTCACATTTCCATTTGCATGAAATATCTTTTTCCATCCCTTTGCATTCCATCTGTATGTCTCTTTCAATCTGAAGTGGATCTCTTATAGACAGCTTTTGTAAGTGTCTTATTCCTTTATCTTTTCAGCCACTTTATATCTGTCTCTATATAGATATAGATATAGATATAGATATAGATATAGATATAGATATAGATATGTGTGGATTTCAGAGAGGAAGGGAGATGGAGAGAGAGATGGAAACATCAGTGATGAGAGAGAATCATTGATCAGCTGCTTCCTTCACATCCCTTACTGGGGATCGAGCCCACAACCCTGGCATGTGCCCTTGACTGAAATCAAACCTGGGACCCTTCAGTCTGCAGGCCAGTGCTCTATCCACTGAGCCAAATCAGCTGGGACACACCTTCTGTCATTTAGTCCATTTACATTTAAAGTAATTATTGATGGGTATAAAGTTATTGCCATTTTATTATTTATCTTTTTTTCATTCTCCTCCTCATCCTTGTCTCTTTAACATTTCATGTAATACTGGTTTGTGATGATGAACACCTTTAGCTTTTTGTTGTTGTCTGGGAAGCTCTTTATCTGCCCTTCAATTCTAAATGATAGCCTTGCTGGGTAAAGCAAATTTGGTCGTAGATCCTTGCTTTTCATCACTGAATATTTTGTGCCAACCCTTCTGGCCTGCAAAGTTTCTGTTGAGAAATCAGCTGACAGTCTTATGGGAACTTCCTTTGTAGGTAACTAGCTGCTTTTCTCTTGCTGCTTTTAAGATTCTCTCTTTTTGGCATTTTAATTATGGTATGTCTTAGCGTGGGCCCTCTGGGTTCATCTTGTTTGGAACTCTGTAGTTACTGGATTTGTATGACTTATTTCCTTCACCAGTTTAGGGTAGTTTTCCATCATTATTTCCCCCATTGGTTTTTAACCCATTGCTGTTTCTTCTCCTTTTGGCACCCCTGTGAGGTGCCTTGATGTTGTCCCAGAGGCCCCTTAAATTATTCTTTCTTTAAAACTTTTTTTTTTCTTTTTGCTGTTTTGATTGGATATTTTTATGTATGCTTATATTCCAGATCACTAATTCAATCTTCTGTTTTGTCTAATCTACTGTTGACATTCTCCAATGTATTCTTCATTTCTGACTGGTTCTTTTTTATGTTTTCCATCTCCATTTTTGTAGGTCCAATCTTGTTGTTAAAGTTCTCACTGAAGTCATTAGGCAGCTTTATAATTTTTTAATATATTTTATTGATTTTTACAGAGAGGAAGGGAGAGGGATAGAGTTAGAAACATCGGTGAGAGAGAAACATCGATCAGCTACAGTACATGCCCCTGACCGGAATCCAACATGGGATCCTTCAGTCCACAGGCCAACGCTCTATCCACTGAGCCAAACCAGTTAGGGCTATAACCAGTGTTTTGAACTCTATATCTGATAGATTGTCGGTCTCCATTTTGTTTAATTCTGGAATTTTATTTTTTTCTTTCATTTGGGGCATGTTTCTTCTTAATTTGTCTGCCTCCTTGTGTTTGTGTCTACGTCTCCTGGTTTTGGTGTGGTCTTATGTAATAGGTGTCCTATGGGGCCTGGTGGTTCCACCTTCCTGGTATCCTGCTGGGGTGACCGGCAGCCCTGGGCAACGGTGATGATGACTGTCACACCCGTTCCTAGAGAGGCTGAGGCACATAGCCCTGTGCACCAGGTTCTTCTTGGGATGACAGCTGGAACTAGAATTAACCTCCAGATTCAATCAGCAGGGTGAGCATCCTTGAGAAAGCACCTGCTGGTCTTTAAAGACTAAACAGAGATTCTAGCAAAACGCCCGGGGGCTCGGACTTGTTTGGAAAAGTCCGGGCAGGGGCTGCGCCTTTGGCAAGGTCTTT